TAGTTATATTGGAGAGTGATAAAAGAAAACAGAAATGCCATATGTATACACGACTGAGAGTTAGTGTTTGAGTTGAGACTCTTAATTTGAGAATTTGGATACCATAACCAAAGTATTCCACCAACCTCCCTACACCACAAATAAGCAATGTGTAATATACTCCAGTTGAATAAGTTAGCATATATTCAAGAAGCCAGCCTTAAGTAGAAGTATCCATCTCTTAGATCTGGGTTCAGTGGGCTCTTTATAGAAGACCAGATGGTACATGTTTTAGTACACAGAAGGCCATGTGTTTTGTGTTGTAACTGATCAACGTTGCCTTCACTGGAAAAGAGCCAGAACAATATATAAACAAGTCACTGTACACATGTGCCAATAAAAACTTATTTGCAGACACTAATGTTTCACTGTCATTCCATGTTTGCAAGTCTACATTATCCTGCTTTCCATCTTTCTTTCAACCTTTAAAAATGCAACAGTGGGAAGCCATAGATGGCTAATGCCTTCTATGTATTTATCAAGTGGAAAAGACATAAGCACCATTGTGAAACTGACAAAATCATTGTGAGAAGTAAATTGGAGACTGTATGTATCTAAATTAGACATGCAAATATAGCCCATGCCTGTAGCTAGAGTTTTCCTGCCTTGGCCACAGTCAGGACAAATCTTTGTCACCCACCAGTCCCACAGCCGCTCAGACCCAAACAAGTAAACACAGAGACTTATATTGCATACAAACTGTATGGCTGTGGCAGGCTTCTTGCTAACTGTTCTTATATCTTAAATTAACCCATTTTTATAAATCTATACCTTGTCACATGGCTGGTGGCTTACCAGCGTCTTTACATGCTGCTTGTCCTGGCGGTGGCTGCAGTGTCTCTCCCTCCTTCTTCCTGTTTCCCCAATTCTCCTCTCTCTTTGTCCCGCTTATACTTCCTGCCTGGTCACTGGCCATCAGTGTTTTATTCATATAGAGTAATATCCACAGCACATGCCTGGCATGAAACCTGTCTGTACTTTGGGTCACACCAGCTTCTCCCAGTGCCTGTGAGGGGAGCCTGGAGCCTCTTGCCCCTTGTTAACCTTATACCATGAGCTTTACAGGTACACATCCTTTTTCCACCTGCAATGAGGACAGGGTCCACAGCCTCATTTTAATCTCATCTGCCACTTCCTTACCAAGACAGAGGCACACATCATCTTACTGCACTGCTGAGCAATGCCTTTCTCCAACTATGAAGAGCCTTTCACCAACTTTCAGAATAGAACACTGATAGCACAGGCACTAAAATCATCAATTACTAAGCAGGACCTCGTGAAAGTGAGAAGCCTCTGCATGGCAAAGGATCCAGTCATTGGGACAAAGCAACAGCCTACAGAATGAAAAAAGATTTTTACCAACTATCCATCCAATAGAGGCCTAATATCCAAACAATATGTGAAGGACTCACAAAACTGGATATCAACAAAACAACCCAAATTGAAAATCAAATGCTTTGATTGACAATGGTGTACTGCCTGAAAAATATGCTACTGTAATGGTGGCACAAACCTTATGATAGTAAACAGGCAATATTTGATTTGACTGCACGCTCCACCAGATAGACCCCATACCTGATGCTGCTTGGGTGACCAAGAACCTGAGACTAGATAACCCAAAACCAAACACCAATGTTCTAAAAAAGAAGGTAGTACTAGAATGACATTCTGCTCTACTCATACATCAGTGCTTTGCTCAGCCATCATCAGAGAAGCTTCCTCCTGCAGCAGACGGGAACAAATATAGAGACCCACAGCCGGACATTGCCCAGAGATAGAGACAGGGAGAGGGAGAGAAAGCGAGACCTTGGAACACTCAGCCCTGAACGGGATGTCTTTATCTAAAAAGCCCTTCTCTCCTCAGTTCTCAGGGAACCCTGCTGAAGAAGAGGCAGAAAGAGTAGAAGAGCCAGAGAGGGTGGAGGACACCAAGGGAACAAGGTCTTCTAAACACAGCAGTACCCGCATGCATATGAAGTCACAGAGACTGAGGCAAAATGCACAGGGCCAGAAAGGGTCTGTCCCAGATGGGGTCCTAGAGCTGAAAGGAGAAATGGACAAATGCCCCCTGACACAGAAGCTAGCTCCAGTTGATAACCAAGTTTCCATTTGTAAGTGGTTTTCTCCAAGGCAGTCTCCCTGGGGAAAAAAAATCAGAATGCCCAGCCGTAGATGGCCAACAGAGAATAAACTCAACAACATCTTTGGAGGTTCCTTGTTTCATAATGTCATGTCAGAGTTTTTTCCTTTCTTTTTTTTTTTTTTTTTTTTGGTTTTTGGTTTTTGGTTTTTTGGAGACAGGGTTTCTCTGTGTAGCTTTGTGTCTTTCCTGGAACTCACTTGGTAGTCCAGGCTGGCCTCGAACTCACAGAGATCCGCCTGGCTCTCCCTCCCGAGTGCTGGGATTAAAGGTGGAGTTTTTTCCTTTCTTTTCTTTCTTTTTTAAAAATTTTATCTTATTTTTAAATTTATTTACATTTTTTTCTTTTTTTTTCCTATAGGTATATATTACCCTTTGCATATATATTATGACTTCCATTTTAGTGTTTATCTAGGATTCCACAATGTAATGAGTGGGTCTCCGTGGGTCTCTGTGTTTTGTGTGTTTTTTCTTGGGCTCTTTCCCTGCTGTTTGTTTGTTTTGTCCTATTCCAGTATGTTAGTTTTTGTTTTATCTTACTTTATTTTACTATCCCATGGAAGCCTGTTCTTTCTCTAATAAGAAGTGAATCTGGATGGGAGGGGGTGGGGAAGAATTGGAAGGAGTACAGGGAGAAGAAGCCATAATTCTGATATATTATGTTGGAAACTCAACATATTTCAGTAAAAGTGGAGGGAAAGAAGATCGTTTCTCCTTCCTTCCTCAGCGGTAACATTTTCTGTCCTGCTGATTTCTTCAGAACACAAACCACTGCTAGGAGATATCTCTTGGTAACAGCCAATCAACTCATGGTAGCAAAGGCAGAAGAACATTGGGGAAAATAAATTTGTTTATATTGTGCTAAGTGCCAGAACTCATACAGACCATAAAGATATAAAAAAAAATCAGCAATATTCAATACATACTATTCATTGTCAGGAATATATTCTATGAAAGATTGTCAGTCACTGTAAGTTAGACACTTACCTGGCTTGTATTTGCCTCATGTCTCTAGAACTCTGATAAGTGAGCACATGCAAAGACATACTTTGTCTCCTTGAAACTACTGGAATGAATTGGAAGTTGAGGTTTTGGGTCATTACAATCAGCATGCTTTTGCTTGAATGGGTCCTTTCAGACTAGCATGGTGCTTCCTGTGGCTACCATTAGTGCCTCAGCATTTCTAGATTCCCTTGGTCTGAACCACTTATTCACTCTCTTCTGAAAGGGCCACTTGATCCTAAGACCCAACACTAACTTAACCATTGAATTAAAAAAAAAGAAAATGTTCATTCTAGTTTAGTCAAGTTTTCCCGTGTAGGCATTTCACTTAATGGAGCTAGAAGTTTCCTGTGAGTTTGCTGGTGGTGGTGGTGGTATGGTGTGTGTGTGTGTGTGTGTGTGTGTGTGTGTGTGTGTGTGTGTGTGTGTGTTACATACATGTGCTTTGAGTATGTGTGTCTGTGTGTGTGAAAGAGAGAGGGGGAAGAGGGCGTATGTGTGTGTTATATACACATGCTTTACAGTTCTGTTAATTTGTCCAGGAATTTACTTAGGACCTAATCTAGGCTCTGGTGTAGAGGAGACGGGCATCAAGGTAAGATCTTTGTGGTATACTGTGTTAGTAACTTAATTGAAATAGAATTTATTGGTTGAATGTACTAAACAAAGGAGAACTAACGGGGTCTGAGGATGCACTAAAGTTTAGTTAGACTGAGGATTATCCGTTCCTCCGAATCAAGCATAGTGAAAGGTGCTGGATTCAGGGCCAGGAACATCTTCTTCCCTGGAGCCTTGAGTAGTTTACAGTGCTACATTGAGCAGCAACAGTATCTCTCCTGTGAAATGGGGGATGCTTTGCAGCTCCATACACAGGATTAGTGTGAGCTGCCTTGCCTGTCGTCATTGGAGTCCCCTCCATTGTAGTCCATTGGAAAGATGGGACAGGAGAGATCAGTTCCGTGGGGTTGCATGGGGACAGGGCTTCCATTTGGAAGAGAGTAAGGAAAACAGTGCACCTGGGTCAGCTATCATCCTGCTCCCCTGGGAGCCCATTTGGACAATGGATAGGCTATCTTTTCCCAGCTCGGGCTTTGGGTAGTTTACTGTCCTTACAAGCAGACTGAAAAGCCTGGTCAGGTTACACACTTCTTCGGACTTTTTACAAGGACTTTTCAGCATTCAGTCCAACTTTAGGATTCCTTGGGCTCAATTTGGTTCTCCGGTCTTGAAAAACCATACTGATTTTGGCACTGCTACGCTAAGACTTCTTCCCCAGGGACAAACAAAATGTAGATGTTTGTGAATAACATACGTCTAAGAGCTGGGTTGTTTTACCTTGTAATGAAGTGATATGGATACCTTAAATGAGGGCTAAATGGACATTATGTCCTATACAGCCCGACAGCATTGAAGTGATGCATATTCAGAAGGAAGGGGGCCCTATTAAAATACAACTAAGTACCATTTACTGTTCTTAGAGCCACAGAGCCAAGTCAGACTCCGTGGGGTGTTAGTACTTCCCTTTAGCCCACCCATGTGACAAGCAAACCACTTCTTTCCATTTGTGCCTATGGCATCATTCCTCAGCTACACATTTGAATGTTAACTGACTTAGCTGACGTCACAGCAGGAAAGAGGAAACTGAAACTCACCTCTCTCAGTCCCCAAAGCCCCTGGTGGGATGCTAAGGTTTACTCACAGAGACCTTCCCAAAGGAACACCCATTGACAACACTTTCCCAGCAGCCAGCGCTGCTGGCTGGGGTTGTTACAGAAAAGGGATGGCGCCCCAAAGTTTGTGTGTCTTTTGTTTCTTCCAGGAGAGAAGCCCTACAAATGCACGTGGGAAGGCTGCACCTGGAAGTTTGCCCGTTCGGATGAACTGACCAGGCATTACCGCAAACACACGGGAGTGAAGCCATTCAAGTGCGCAGACTGTGACCGCAGCTTCTCCAGGTCAGACCACCTGGCGCTGCACCGCAGGAGGCACATGCTGGTGTGAGGAAGGCTCCCGTCCAGCTGCGAGTAAGAGCTGGGTCTCTTCAGGAGCGACTAACTCAGCAGGGTTGAGCCCCCTCTACAGTGTTAACGTCAAGGTCACCGCCATCCCCACGGTGCCTGAAACCAGAGCAGGAACAAGAAGGAACCCTTCTCCTTTCAGCCTGAAGGTAACCCCCCACCATGACCACGCGCCCGCGGGGAGAGCCGTCTGCCTGCGAGCACGCTGGCCTGGGAGTTGAGCGCCTCAGGTCCTGAAGAGACAGGCATTGTTTTTCATGCTGTGTCCTCTGCCATTGAAAAGAGGTTTGTAGCTTGTCCATTTTCCGAGCTGGCCGACACTCTGCTATCAGTCCCTTAAAGGTCATCTACCGCAAATTGATGGTTAGAGAAGACCTCTGTTTGGATGATTCTTCCGTGGCACCTCCCCCTCCCCAGACCCTTTAGACCAAAATTCAGTTCCTATCTCAGTAAGCCAGAACACACATCCAGTCTGTTACCAGCAAGCAGCATGAACCAGAAAGGAAGGGGCTGTTGGAGATGCTCCATGGCCCGAAAAGAAAGGCACACAGAAAGAGCCCTCTGTGCCAGCCATGGCCCGCTAGATAGCACTCACATCTTGTCCTCACGCCATCCCCCGAAGAGAACCAACATTGAGTCTTTTCATCTGTTTGTCGGTGCTTGTTTTTTGTTCCGTTTCGATTTTGTTTTGTTCATCTGTTCCAGCAGAGGGGCAGAGCAGTTTCTCCAAGGCTAGTCCTGCTCTGCCCTGGCATGGACTGGCAGAGGTGTTCTGTAGTTGAATAGGAAGAGCCTGTCTAAAAATAATAGCAACAATAATAATAATAACTACTGCCCCACTTGCAATTGCAGTGTTCTGTCACCTAGGCATCCTCTCTTCCTGCCCTGAGTGTTTGATTACAAGGAGCCCGGGGGAGGGGGACTTTCTTAGACACACTGGCACCAAGGTAAGAGGTGCGGCTGCCCATGCAAAGTCAGTGGACATGAAAATGAGACAAAACAGAGATGGATATAATGCTCCTCTTGAGGAGAAAAGCAATAATGAATAGAAGGACTTTCCTACAATAACTCCACTGAGGACTCACGTTACCAATTTTCATACTTACTAAAGGAATTGTAAAAAACACCCCAGCATTTCAAATGTCTTAGTTACATCCACAGCACTGAGGTAATCCTTCTGCTGTTTGTTGTCCTACTTGCTCGAGTACCACAATTAAAGATTATGCTCCCTCTTTCTCGTTTGAAAACAGTTATTTGGTGACTAGATAGGCAGAGCTGGAGATGAACTCTTCAGCCAGTGGGGCTGTTCTGCCTGGGCATGAGTCCGTGGAAAGAATGTCCCGTGGAAAGCCCGCCATGGTGCTGCTTCTTCAATTCGGAGGGCCAAGAGTTTGACTCTCCCATGGATTCTTCTCTACACATTTCACTTTTTAAACTGTCCCAGAATCTCCGTGCTCCCACATTGGCATTCATAGGACAGACAACCTGCTTATCCTGGGAGAAGGATAAGAAAGTCAGGTTCCCTTGTCCCTCTCAAATGAAGAGCCTTTTTGTATCCAGCAAAACATACAGGAAAAGCAATACACCCCAACAAGTACTCATTCCAATATGGGATCATGTTTTTGTCCCCACTAAAAGCTGCTGTTTTCCCAGCTTTGTGTGGCAGTCGGGCTTGATGAGATTTTTGTTGTTAAGATTTTATAGCTTAACTATAAAAGGTCTCCAGCAAAGACCTTTGCAATATATTTCAATGACAGATGCTTGATTTGGGAAATTGCACAAATTAACCTCATAATATTCCTAGCTCATTTTTAAGTGTCTGCAGATTCTGAAAGGCTTTCTGGTGACAGAGTTATCCTTTATAGTATCAGCTTCTAATTTGGGTAATTGTATTCTGACAAAGCAAGAACTATAAACACTACAAGAAGACCCGCTTGTGTTGGAGAGCTTTTAAAGGAATTTTAATAAACGTTCAGGCAAAAGTATCATGATCTACAGATCAAGTCCCGGCTTCAAAAATATGTGCTCTATATTTTCTGCCAGGTCTGAAAAATTCATCAGGCAATTTCCCTCCAACAAGGGCTGCAGTTCTATTGATAAGTAGCTTCAGCTACACAGGCTGGTACCCACCAGCCAGTGGAATTTTTTTTTTTAACCTAGTAGAACATTTTTTTTTTTTTAATCTGTACTGTATGCACTTCCTACTTCTCGTTGCCTGTTATCACTCAGAATAAAAACAGGTTTCCTGATGTGTGCCAGCATTGGTAACTGGCCAGTGTGAAGAACACAGATAGTAGCGAACGAACAACCGTGATCCCCAAGGGCTGGCCCAAGAGCCTGATTGGCAGGTAGTAGGGGAGTCACTCAAGTGAAGTATAGATTTGACTTGGTTCTGTCTGCTCTCCTCAGAGCCATTTCTTTTCCCACTGAGAGACATCTTGCAAGTGTTGCAGGTAAAATTCATTGACTTGACAGGCAGTGGAAGCTTCCTGAGTGACATCTTGATTTAAATTTAGCACAGAACTAAGTGAGTTGCACCTAATAGCTTAGGGAAGACTTGGGGGAAGCTCACTTCCCCCCTCACTCCCTGTAAGTGGGAAGCATACTGAGATGGTGAGAGAACTGATCAAATCTGCCATCGTTACAGCATTCCGTTCCTTTTGACTTAGCGATATTTTTAGAGAGGATCTAAGCACAAGTGAACACGTCCCTGATCTGGCCCAAGAACTGAAATGTATTTGGAACTCATGGGGGGGGGGGCTGTAATCAGTTCTCCTTGGTGAATTTCCTAGATGTGTTTCCTGTATAAAAGCAAGGAGTTCGGGATTGAAGGAAATGGGATATCCTTAGGCACAAAAAAGCCTCCGCCCATTTCATGTGCGTATCTAGCTTCTTGAAAAGCACAGTATATGATAAACTCTCAAAGGGAAAGGATCCTAAAGGACTTCTTGATATTTCCCAAGCAAAGCACGTTTGAGTTTCAGATTTGAAGTGGTTCAGCTTGCAGCTAGGCCACGCCTGGCACACACAGCAGGAGAGCTGGTTGTCCCCTTGCGCAGTGAAGACAGATGACAAGGGAGTTGGGCTATTGGAGGGGTTTCAGAGAGCCCCTTATATTCCGATCTTAAGTTGTTTGGAGAGAAATTTTGCATTCAGCTCCAGCCTCCTGCTGTCGATTGCTCTGGACACTGCTTGATTTTATGTTCCTTTATGGCATTTGGAAAGAGGTTCCTGAGGGCTTACCCATGGATTACACTACTGCCTTTACAAGTCACATACGGTTTTTGTTTTCAACAAGTTGAGTGTCAGTTACACGAGTCAGCTAAATGAGCACTTTTAAATATCACTTTAAAGTTTAAATGGGAAAGGAGAGAAGTTAGGGAACGGGGCTTTCAAGATGCTTCACTGTTTACAAATGAAAGTTCTAGGTGATTAGAGAAGCTCTGTTCATCATGGGTGAAATTTGGAATAGCTCATGCAAAGAGTGTGTTCGTTTTTATACAACTTGTTTAACTTCGAATTGCCATTGGTGTCTGAAATGGAAATGTAAGTCTGCACTTTGAGATCAGCTCATTAGAATGATAACATGTATATGGATAAAGATGCAGTATTCCTTAGTCTGTGCTTTGTTTATTATATGTACCAAAGCTGCAATTGAATAAATCTGGTGAGGTGAGGCCTTCAGTTGTATTACTATGCCTTTGTTTTGTTATTCTGACTGCCTAGAAATGTAGCTGAGAGGTTGTTACCAGGCTGTCTTATCACTTTTGAATTGAGAATTCACAGAACTGAAGCAGCGTCAATACCAGCACCCATGCAGTCTGCATAGAAAGGATCGAATGTGAACTAATGTGGATGAACCACCATAGGCCCAGGAAGCCTTAATAATCATAGTTCATAATCCACTCTCATTAAGTTTATCCCATAAATGTATGCCATCGGCCAAATCTCTTCCTTGACTTTTTCTAAGGTTGTATATCCCACAGAAGTAATTTGATTTGGTTTAGTTTAGGGAAGAGATTTGACCAGTCATGTCTTCCATTTTACATTTCTACTTATTCCCACACTGCCTTTCACTTACCTGGACAGACACCCCAACACATGCACCTGTGTGTACACACCTGCATATGCGGCAGCCAACAGGCAAGTAAATATCAACAAAGAACTTTTTTAAAAGAAATAATTTGTAATAACCCATACTATGTAGAAATGTAAGTTATTACCTGACTAGAGAATCAGCTTATAATACTATGTAACTTTGCCTGCATTTTATAGCTAAGAAATGTATATAAAAATTTAAAATGCTATATTTTCACAATTTCATTATAGAGTAATGTCTGTTTAGCAAACCATGCCCATTGGTATTTTAAATATCTAAATACTAAGCAATTGCAATAGAAATTCAGATTTTTCATAAGAAAATAAAGTGGAAGGATACTGCATCTTTAAAAATAGAGCGAAGCTATTTTACTGTATTCGTAACATGTGACAGTGGGAAAAGTATTTTCAAACACGCAAATTTTACAGAGGTTGTAAATAGTTTGATGACATATGTTGGGGAAAAGCTTCTAGTTTTCATCACAATAAAAAAAAACACTTGTTGAGATATGCCTTGTGTATGGATGGTACACACAATTGGTGATGTTGCTGTGGGAAATGATCCCTCTTGTTGATCTTCTTGGTGCTTGGTCAGAACAGAGTGGCCACTTGTCATAGCTTAGGTTTAAAAGTCAACTGAAGTCATTTTCTCAAACTTGTCATGTCTCTTCTTCAAAAGGGAAAAATGGGGACGTGCTGGTTCTAGAAAAATCATCTAGCAGTCATTCTCTGTTCTCAGTTATCCTCCTCCTCAACAAAGTGGTTCTCAATTGAAAAACAGAAAATCAGGTATTTATTCCTGTTTACTTTCCAGAGGGGTTGCTTTCTGGGTTAGGTACAGGTTGATGAGGTTAAGTGTATGGATATGGCCACATAGTAAAAGAATCTGTAGTAGCAATAGGAAAAAGTTAATGCCCATTTTTTCAGAAATAAATGAAATGCTGAAAGTGCCTGTCAATGAATATGACCAATGAGATAATCCTATACTTTCACAGAGCAATAATTCTTCATCATACTGGGTTTTTCCTACACAGTGTGAGCGCGCGCGCACACACACACACACACACACACACACACACACACACACACGGAGTAAATATATGCACATAGTGGATTAAATTTCTTCCCACGAACCCACAGAAAAGGGCTTTCATCACTTTGAAGTATAACTAACCTGATTTGCAACGAGTGTCTCTTAATTTTATTTGTCTTACTTGAATACAGTCGGGTGAATATGGGAATTAAAGTTCTCCTCAGTGTACATGACAGTGTAGAACCGTTACGACGTTCAGATAAAGTGTACCTCAGACTTAGAACAGAGCATGTGTATAGCTCAGAAAGGCTTACTCAGTTACAAACACTGACGCACTTAGAGCCACACTGTGAGGGACTCTTGTCTGCTTAATTTTGCTCTCTTAGATCAGCGCACAAGTCTGTCTTCATGTGTCTCTTTTCGCCTAATATATCCTGGTAGCATTTGGAGGTGAACATTGACAAATTATTCCCCTTCCTTTCCCCCCCAAAAAAATCTTGTGATACCTGTGAAGGCCTTCAGACAGTTACTTAGTTAATTCTGACAGTTACCTCATGATGTACATTCAGAAGTTCACAAGTTTGTGTTTGTTTGTTTTCTAAAATCATTTTATGGCTAAAAGTGGAGTCATGGGTAGAAATAAATGATGACACTGTGTATAGACAGGAACCCAGAGTATTTTCCAGCCTTGTTGTCTCAGAGCATGACTTCACCCCGAAAAGCTGTTGGGGCTCCCAGCTAAGCTCTACTAGAGGCAAACACTCAGTAAGAATGGCTTTAGACAGTGTGGTACTGCAATGGACAGCATTCTGCAGCATAGCCCCAACCTCAGGTCTAGAAGACCATCCACTATTTACCCTACTCTGTTTCAGAAGAGAAGGCTGAAAACACATGCATCAGCAGGTAGAGGGATAAAAGCAAATAGGCATCGTTTTAAAGCACAGCTCCCGTGTCCCCTGGTCTGACCGATATCAAACATTCTGACTTTCTTCTTCCCGTGTGTCTGAAAGTGCTGAAGTATCTGCACGGTCCAAAGCTCATGCTGAGGCCTCCACTAAGAATTCGAACATGGTCCCTCCGGTCTGTACAACCACTTTCCCCTTTGTGGATGGGAAACTGAGGCACAAGGAGAATGGCCGAGATGTCCACGGGCACAGAATAAGTCGAGTAGGTCGAGTGGGAATACAAAGCTTCCTGGCTCTGCAGCCTGTGTTCTGTGTGCTATAGTGCACACCCCATTGCCTGCTTCTGGCTGCCATGTTCCCAGTCTCTAACTTGGTTTGGTCATGAGCACCCTGTAGGGGTAAAATACCAGAACATGGTCTAGCACATGATGTGACAATGGTGCAGAGACTTTGAAATCAGCCGCTTCCTGGAAACTCACTGATGGGTGGTATTTCTAGAAACACATTGAACCAGAGCACTCCCTACACTTGTCAATTTCTTCCAAATGTTTGCCCAGAGCCCGCAAGATCTTAAAAACCCCTTCTTACTTACTATGATAATTCAGTTAGTTTTTCTCAATTTACATATTTTTTGTATAGTAGTTTCTTTTCCCCTAACACAGACATGCTATGACCTGTGTGTGAAAGAGCATCTGAAACCCTCACCTCTGTCAAAGTACTTCATAACAGGTGTTTATGGGGTAGTGACGTCAGCATTCAGATGATCAGTACACAGTTCCTTTGCAGGGCTCCCACTTAACAGCACTGTCTTGGAATGTTTTAAATAGTCTCATAAATAATATGCTTATAGTATTGTTAGTTTGAGTTTTATGTGAGGAGCTGTCTAACATCAGAGAAATGAAATCCTTCCCCTTCTGCATAGAAGAAAGTCTCTGACAGTATTGATTCATGGAAGCGCTAATGGACTTTGAAAACATTAAGAATGCCATTTCTCAGAGTGTTTCAGTTTCTGAAAATGAATCTTCTGAATTATGGTCTTTCTCCCTGTTAGTTAGCTGGGGGATGAGATAAAAGCTGTACAAACCACTTCTCTTCCATGCTGAAAGCAAGTGTCTATGTCTTCAACCTCCTGTAGGCTTAGACTGCTGTCACTTAATTGAGTTTCACCACCAATTATTTCTCAAATGACAATGCCACCACTCTAAGAGGACTGACAAGAAATGAATAGTGGGAATAGGCACATCAGTAACATTTTTTTTCTGCATTTCATCTCTAGAAATGTGAAGTGTTTCAACAGATTCCTGTTGTGAATTATTCTTTTTCAAAAGCAAGTTAGCCAAGTCCTTGACAGAGATTAATTTTTTGTTGAGAAATGAGGTTTTATAGGAGAGAATTCAGCTCCAGTTCTACAAGTTAAAATGTCCACTCAATCAAAAACTATAGGGATATTTTGACATCTTCCTTTTACGCTCATTTTGTTATCTAAAAATAAAACATAAAATGTTATAGAAAATTATTTTCCCCCACTCACATTTCTAGCTTTCCCATGACAGAATTTTGTGTTGTATCCAGATCATAGAATATATTTTATTCCTCAAATTATTCATTCATTGGGTATTATTGAACTGGGCACTGGTGCCTATATACAAGGCTCTTTCCTATCAACTTGTCTGTGTACAGTTTGTTGTGTTTGAAGGTTCATTTTTGAAAACCACTGTCTCCCCTTCATGGGATGGTGTGGCGGTTGTATTGTTTTGTTCATGTCTATGTGGGACACATTGCATCACATGGAAAACCAACTATGGATGGATGTGAGATAACTACTTAACAAAACCAGCTTGAAAACATTGTCTTATGTATTATGTCATCCTGCCTCATAATGCAATTACGTGTATCATGATCACTTTTTACAAAGAGAAACCAGCAAATTTATGTTTGTCCATAGACGGATGTACTAGGAATTGTCTGTGTTGTGAAATGATGAGAACAGACCACCTTTAAGATACCCACCTGCCACTTAAAATGACTTAGTTATAATTAGTAGTAGTCTAGACATTGCTCTTGGTGTAGGGGAGGGTCAGTGCAGACGTCATATTCCTTTGAGTAAATCTCCTAGTCCTATCTGAAAAACATGGGAATAAAGAAAAACATCATCTTTGGCCAAATCAAGCAGGCATCTCTTTGCTTTTCCTCAACACTTAGCTCATCACACATGGTCATTGGATCACAAGATCTTTCTGTGTACAAATATGAAAATGTCCTTTAGTTCGCAAAGTGGTTATTCTAGGCTAGAAGCCTCTACACAGCAAAGTGAATAGATGGGCTGCTTCTGATTCCTTTTATGGATCTAATCTGACAAAAAGACTCTTGGGCTTATGACCCAGAGAGCTAAGAGTGCCCAGAGGAGAACCTGCATTAAAGGATGAAATCCCCCAATGATGCTGGCAAGCAAATGTGTTGAGTTCTTAGATCTTTGTTTGCTTTTTCTTTTCTGAGTTTTAATTGCAAATAAATTTATTTCTTCAGATTAAAGATCTAATTTCCTAATAGTTTCCTCTGCATTTATATACTCTGTAGTGTCTAGACAGCTCCTGTCATAAGTTTATTAATATTATGTAAGTGTTGTTCTGTATTTATGTATAGTGTATGTATTGTAAATATACTCAGAGCTTTTTCTTTTACTGTAAAATGGTGATTTTTTTTTTTGCCCTATGATAATGAAAAGGGAGACTCTCCTAATGAGGCTCTCTCAGAAGAGTATTCCAGTCTATTCTCAGAGATTTAAATGAACAAGTGTTATCGTTTTCAATGGTGTCTCAGACATATTCTGTTGGTGCATTGCTTTTCTGTATTCAACTTTCCTATGAATTGAGCTGTGAACTGAAATAGAGTTTAAACCTTTATCTGTATGCATTTGTATAATTATCTGAATGAAGGCATGAAGGTTAAATAAAGCATTTTGTATGGAACAAGACTCCCTAATTATTACTAAGGCTGACTCAGGCACTTTGAAAATCACAGCTATTAACCATTTTAATTAAGCCTTTGTTGGGAAAAGTTTTACTGCTTACATATAGTAAATTGAAACCCGAGATAAGACAGAATCTGTGTTTTAATAAGAATGAGATTTTTTATTTTGCAACAATGATCACCTAAAAAGAAATTCCTAATATTTTAATGATTAGCGAACTCAAAGATGGTCCAGAAATACAGTGTGATACGAAAGATGCATCTCTCAGAGATCAAAATTGAATCCCTTGAGCTACAGTTTCTTCAGGCTTTGTGTGTCATAAAATGATCCATGGAGCATGCCAAGGGTAGCTTATCTCTTTATGTTTTTTAAGAAAACTGGATTATTGAGGGGTTTGAATATAAGAACATTAATAAGTAGAATATCTTTAAATAATTGCTAAAATAAACTCGTGAAAAATCTGGTTCTTATTACCTAAGGTGCTTCCCCTGAAGATCTAGAAAAATATATTCTATAAAGGAAGTGGCTATAAATTATACCTAGCAGCATCCTCAATCTTTTGTGTTCATTCCAAAAATCTTGGATTGTAATCTAGCTAGCTATATTCTAATGGATAGGAAATGGAAATGGTAAGGTGAGGTACTCAGTTTAGGCAACGTTTCCAGTCAGTCTGGTTGTAGGACCAGTTTCCTTAGCCATCATGAAAGGTAAAAATGATGGGAGGTAGGGAGTAAGATATGAGCTAGTTAGGAATCACGGTGATCAGGAAACATTCAGTAGATACCTTTGATTATTCACCTACAAAAACACATAAGCCAATCAAAATATCCTTTATACATGGCAAAGGAAGATCAGAGCTCTAAAGAGATTTTGGATCACTCTACCGCTGCCTCAAGTCCCTTTTTGAAAAGATAGTGAGTTCTGCGTCATCGTTCTGTTACACACCAGAGAATGGGACAGAGCCTGCAAGCTGTACCTCACTGTCCTTCAGCATCAAAGCCCAGCCCCTTCACCCTGTGCAGAAGCTGGGTCACCACTCCCCTGACTTCCTCAAGTCCACCCTATTGAAACATTACTGAGGGGTCCTGGAAAAGTCTCTTTCTCTACCACTAAAAGCCTTCTAAGGTGCTTTTCTGGGAATTACACACCAGTCTGACAACTAACAGTATGTGGTTCTTAAAATCTGATGCAGAGCCAGGCCGCAGTGGGGGGGGGGGAGCACACGCCTTTAATCCCAGCACTCGGGAGGCAAAGCCAGGTGGATCTTTGTGAGTTCGAGGCCAGCCTGGTCTACAGAGCAAGATCCAGGAAAAGCTCCAAAGCTACACAGAGAAACCCTGTCTCAAAGAAAAAAAAAATCCGATGCAGTAAACCAGTTAGTTGCCTTTTAAAAGTAAGTGTGTGTGTGTGTGTGTGTGTGTGTGTGTGTGTGTGTGTGTGTGTATTGTGGGGGGCCACATGAAGGTAAGAGGACAACTGTATGATATCACTTCTTCCCATCTACCTTGATGTGACTTCCGGTGATTTGAACTTCTATTGCCAGGCATGTGCTTCAATCTCTTTTACCTGCTGAGCCATCACGAGGGTCCCAATAGTCTGACTTTTTTTTAAGTATTATTTATTTTATTTTGTGTATATGAATATTTTGTCTTCATTTATGTGTGTGTACCACCTGCATGCCAACAAGGTCAAAAGAGAGCATCAGATCTCCTGGAACTGGAGTTACAGATGGTTGTGAGCTCCCATGTGGATACAGGAACATAAGTGTGGGTCTTCTGCAAGATGAGCCAGTTCTCTTAACCACTGAGCCATCTTTCCAGCCATCCAAACAATCTGATTTTGCTGAATGTTTTGGCAATACCTTTAGTGGTAGTTATTTTGTAAATGACCCTCTTAAGAGACCAGTAATGAACATACCCATCTTTTGGGCTCTTTGTGTAGAATGGAAGTGCTTGCAAGGCTGATCCTAATCCATTTAGTTACTTCATACACTCTGTTAATAAAATAGGAAGTTGAATATTAGATTTATATATCATTGGCTTAATTTTCACCAGAGAAAATTCTCTTTAGGCTATACCAGCAGCTAATCCATCTCTCTAGCTTTGTTTTTATTTGTGTTTCAATCCCCCCTACAGGACACTGCATTATCCAGCAGGCTACCGAGACAAGTCTCCCACAACACATCAGGAGATATTTCTCTCCAGGTAATCTATGTGTTGAGACTTCTTCAGGCAGACGATTCCTAGACATTTCAATGACTGAGACTAAATGGGAGGTGGAAAATTCTGTAACTTCCTCTGGTCTCAGCTGGGTCAGGGTATCTGGACATACCTGTGATTTTTAATCTAAATGTCGATGGCTTCATTGTTCATTTTGGGTTGGATGTCTAGGAAACAGCAGCATGGAATGATTAAATGTAGAGAATGTGCTAGAAATTAGAATGCCTTGGGGCTTTAATACACACACATAAGTGTACATAGTAATGTATGGTACACATACTGAATATATACATTTTGATATTATACAATTCACATATATATATATATATATGAATATTATATATTTCCCAGTACTGAATATAGATGTATATCCCTGAAAAAGTATTTGAGTCTCCAATGGCTACTGAGGGGTTTAATAATACATAGTTCTTTGTCTTCCCACCAAAGTGACATGGTTTTCTCCAACACAATGAATTATTTGTGCTTTGTCCCTGTGCTGTCTGGGTTTAATATATTTCTCTCCCAAAAGTGTAGTAAGTATAATTTACATCACTTCTTATTTAGTCTCAATTCCCCCAACGAACGCCTACACAACATACACTTGAGTGATTGTGCATTTCTGAAATAAAATTGCATTTTCCTTATACATGGGCATCTTCTACATGACCTTTTCTTCTTTGTAGTTTCACTGTGATATGTGTTTGTGTGTGTATGTGTCTGCGCATGTGTGTTTGAGAGGAAGTGTGTGTGTTCTACAAAGCCATGATGACATCAACAAAATCAGACAAGCACACTGACAACAGATTGACTCAAGAAAGGTCTACAGCTTTTTAAATGGATATGACTATTCCTTTGTTTTACCATAGCTATGGTTTATATATAAAACTGTCATCCATTGTCCTATAAAGAATGGCAAGATACAAAAAGTCCTTGCCATGAGCGGCTGTGCAGGTCTCAGCTCTCCCAGTCTGTTGCTAAGTTACAGGTCACCACAGCATCTGCACGGGAGCCTGACTACCCTCTTAGACTGTTCCTTTAGATTTGGGCATAGACCAGGCCAAGCAGTGGATGCCATAGAAGGTTAACTATTACTGCTCATTCTTGGAGCTCTGAAATCTCACACTAGTATGGCCTGTACTGTCTATCATTGAAGTAGTCTACATATCCAACTCCACCGTTAGTGACTGATTTGGAGTTTTGTAATAGGGCAACAAACTCAGAATTCTTGAACTTCTAAGTAGGCTACAGTCTATGGGAGTGACAGATAAATACACGGCACCGGAGAACAAATTCAAGTGTCACCCTCACAAAAACTATCCCACCTACTTGGAGGCAGATTCTTACTAGCCAGTGAGTCCTAGAAATCCTCTTGAACCTGTCTCTCAAACATGGGGATTACAAGCATGCGCCCCCACACAAAGCTTCTGTTCCACAGGTTCTAGGGAGCGAACTCGGGTTCTCATGTAAAGCAGGACTTTATTAACTAAACCATCTCCTTAGCCCTATAAACCAATTATTTAAAATAAGTGTCTCTATATTTAACTTGACACATATTTGTTGCTTTTGCTCTTCTGGAAAACTCTAACCACACCCATATATTAAGTTTCTCAAGCTCTTATGCATCTTCCTCACCCCAGAGTCTTACATTCTTTCCTACGTGACCAATCAAGATATTTTCCCCAGCACAGAGATCTCCTTCATCATGAAAATTCTTGTCCCAGTTTGGATCAGAGAAGGTCAGCTTCATGGAGGACATGACATGTGACTATAAAGGCAGCTTCAACTAGGTGACATATTTGTGGTAGGTGCTTCCTTTCCCAGCTCCTTTCTCTTTAACAACAAAGTCAATCTCTAGATTCCTAAATCCTCCTGAGTGTCTCAAGTTTTTATGTGAACCATAAGGTTTAATCTCAGTTTTCAGTTTTCACATAACTGCTGAAATTACATATTTAAGTCACAAGATTAGCATCTCACAGGCCAACTTCCCCTAGTTATTACAAGTTAATAAAGTACCAAATACATGCTAATTTCTTATGTTCAAATCCTAATCCTGCAGTTTTGATTTTCAAATATTCCTATCTATACTCAGTTAAAAATGGTCTTGGGATCCAAAGGAAGTAATTATGAAATCTCATATAAGTTGCAGTTTACCTTCACAGATGGTTGCAGTTGTATAAGATGGGAGTTCTCAAGTGAGACCTTAATATACCATTTGCAAAACAGATGGGAAACTCAAAAAGTTGGAAACAAGAAGCCCCAGTTTAGAACGAAGAATAGGAAATGTACAACCCAGCAACAGAGATCATTTATCTGGACCCTGAGACAAACTGTTTTGTTGCCTTTGGATTTGAGGATGGTATTGCTGCCGTTGTTGCCATTGTTGTTTGTTTACCTAATGTTCTCCCATCCTTGGGGGAATTTCTACTTCTATGTACACATAGTGCAGTTCTATTTATTTGGATTTGTATTCATTTGGTTAATACATGAAACTGGATCCCCATCTCCGTAGGCTTTTGAATATAGTGGAAGTTTTCTTTAAGATCCTTCCAACCTTGTAGAGTCCTAGTCCTTATCAGTGTTAAAGTGGTGGTGGCCACACATTTCTATGACACTGACTTTGATCTTGAGTTACTTTTCTCTCCCATGGGATAGCTGAGAATGAAAGAAGTTCTTTTTTTCTCTCTCATAACTGGCAGTAAGATGTTACTTGGGGGAAGTCCAGTAGATAGAATTCTATGCTGTAATTAAATTTCCTACAGTGCTGAGGAAAGTCCCCAAT